TGTATAATTAGAGATAGACAGAAAAGGAAAAAAATCAAAGTTTCGTTCACTTGGGGATTTATAAGCTCTTGTCATTCAACATGCATAACTTTCAAAATGTTCATTCATATAGAAATAAAACTGCTGTATAATTAGAGATAGACAGAAAGGAAAAAAACTCAAAGTTTCGTTCACTTGGGGATTTATAAGCTCTTGTCATTCAACATGCATAACTTTCAAAATGTTCATTTTTACGGAAGAAAAACTGTTTTGTTTTTGCCAGAAGGACTAACTCGAATGATGAAGGCGCCTTTTTCGTTATTATCATTCATTCTACACAGTGGGCTATTTTTAAACCTTTCAATGTAGTGTCAATTCAGTTTTCGCTTGAACACTAAGAGATTTTCATGTGCGTATTTGTTTAGTCTATTTAACAGCAAAGTAGAAAAACTTTACGGAGTAAAAGAACTTTTACTCTCATGTATCAACTATCAACTATCATGTATCAACGTTATTATAAAAACTGGATGTTAACAAATAACTGTGACATAAATGAAAATAGCTTATCCTTTCACATTTTAATGGCAGGTTTTTTTCATAATGATTTTCTTCAAAGATAAACAACTCTGCTGCTCTACTCTATATAAACGTCCCCAGTGTGCTCGTGATGCAACAGAAAAAAATATATAAATCTCGAAACTTAATTCCTGTAATATTAAATGAAGCATTCTTTACGTTATTTTTGTTGGATTATTATTATTACTCGAGTAATATCAGGCCTATAAATAATTAGTAAACATCGTTAGCAGTAAATTATTTATAAGTAATTATTGATACAAACTAAAAAGAAATACAATTTTGTAGATGTTCGTACATGACAATAACGTGGTAACTTGTTTACGTTTGGTTTTCTAAATAAGTTTGTTACCACATGTTTGCAAAAATCTGTTTGTTCTATTAAATTAAATTTTACTGCAACCCAATTAAGCGTACACTGAGATAACTTCGTTTTAATTCTATGTTTTTATTCATATATCTACTGTCTAGGATGAAGCAGAAGAATGGTATTTTGAAGAATCGAGGGCCTCAACCACAGTCTCCAATTCTTAGGTAATTCGCTTAAAGTGATTGTTTAAAGTTTGTTTGTTTGTTGTTTTTTTTCGTAGTTTAAAAGGCCAGTAAACGTTGTAGAATTAAATAATGAGAAAGAAGACGTAATGTTTTAAACATAAAACGAATAGAAAAAATATAAAACAGTCGTAGCATGTGCGTAAAATCTTACGTTAGTTTAGCTGACGGACTTGCACAGAGCACCTCCCCACCCCTTCCCCACTTCACAAAATTTGGATTCTTGAGACTCATCTTCATATAATGAACAAAAATTCGAAGGTTTTAATCGCCCCTCAGAAATGTGCTTCAATTTTCTATTTCTTTTCAAGTCAAGGAATTCAAATAATTTTTAAAATTTAAGTAGACTATAACAATGTTTGTTTGTTTTGAATTTCGCGCAAAGCTACACGAGGGTTATCTGCGCTACCCGCCCATAATTTAACAAGGAAAGACTATAGGGAAAGCAGCTAGTCATAACAACCCACCGCCAACTCTTGGGATACTCGTGTACCAGCGAATAGTGGAACTGACCGTCACATCATCACGCCCCCACAGCTGAAAGGGCGAGCATGTTTGGTGGGAGGGTAATTCGAACCTGCGGGCCTCGATTTGTGTAGGGATGAGCTTGAAGTGGGCTGATTTCCTGCTAAATTAAAATATTTCCATCACGTTTGGCTCCCCCGGATAGGACGGTAGTAAGTCTACAGACTTATAACGCTAAAATCCGGGGTTCGGTTCCCCCGCGGTGGACACAGGAGATAGCCCAATGTGGCTTTGCTGAAACAAACAATCAAAACATCAAGTCTGATTTGTATCCAGTTAACATTATTTAAGGAAATTATATACACACACACAGATAACTAATTTTAAAATATCACTCTTTAGTTGAGACATCTGTTACGTATTAGAATTTCGAATAGTCTGAAGCCGAGTTAAATAATTTAAATTTAGTAGTTAAATTATACTTTGGATTTAATATTTTAAAAAATGCCGATATATATAGCAGTTTGTAATATTTGCTAACAACATTGATACACACAGTCTTCGTTTTTAACACAAATGCGTTTGAATATACACACAACAGTACAATTTACAATAACAATTATTACAAATACTTATTG